ATCTACGGACAATGAGCCTTGTGTATTAATTGTTCGTACGCACGGATTTGATCTTAAATTCATAAGCCAATACGCACAAAAGCCAACTTGTGTTTTGTGCTGATTTTAAATGTCTACACTTCGACGATCAGGTTACAGAGGCTGATTCTTTAAAATCTGTGTGCCGTTCTGGAGCCAGATGTGCATCAGCGTACCATCTCCAAATCCGTTCTTCTTCCTCAACAGAAAACAATTCTATTCAGTCAACATCCAAATAACATGTGACACACAGAATTACATCTAGTGCACAACCTGGCTGCACCGGACTGCAGAACCCTCCAAAACCACCCCAACAGAGAAACCTCTCCAAAGATGGGTCCAATGTGCTCATTCATGTCTGTTGAAAAGTTTAACTGTCAAATATCAAGTGGGTTGTTGGTTTTGGTGGTTGGTCCGAGGTTTCTGCCTCTTAAAACTGAAAGTTTTTCCTTGCCGCCCTCACCAAGTGCTTGCTCATGGTGGGAACTGTTGGGTCTCTGTAAATCATTTTATAATGAGTACGGTCTAGACCTGCTGTATTTAAAAAGTGTCCTGAGATAACTTTTGTTATGAATTGGTGCTATACAGATAAAACTGAATTTAATTGAATTGGTTTTGTGTACAGCCCTCATATAGATTTATTTGGCTCTTTCCAAATTCTAAGTGAATATATCCTGGCTCCATAAATTGGAGCTAAACTCACACGCACTTGAATTTGATTTGTTTTCTATCTCTACACTCTGTTCAAGCTGCTTCTTTTGTTGAGGTCCATCCACTGTAACCAGACAGGGTGGATCTAACAAAACTAATTTTGCAGGGAAATTTATCGTACTTTCCACCATAGTACGATTTGTGTTGAATTGCATTGCTGTAGAGTAAATAGGCGATGGAGCAGAAAGGCGTTGGGTTTCTTTGTTTATTCAGACAAGTTGAGACTGTATTATCGCTCTGTTTGTCTCTCGCTCTTCAAAGTGTGTGGTGGTGTGGGAAGGAGGATTTTGTTTATGCTCGTATGTATCTTGATACTCCAGTGGTCCAAGCATCCTGCACAGACGTTCCATTGATTAGCAGATTAAAATGAGCCGTTTGCATCGATTGACCGCATGCGTGCTCGGATCTCTCTTACTGAACTCTGTGTGTTCATGTACGTTTTTTAAGGGTTTTTAAAAAGAAGATATGGATGGTAGCTTTTGATGATGGCCAATGTTTTGTGCTGATATTGGATGTCTTTATATTTTTTCTTTATATATGTTTATTGGGGTTTTTTTTTTTATTGATTTTATGGCTCATGGCCGCCCCATGTACCAAGGGCTCAGCCTTTGTACAATGGGCGGCAGCTCTACCAGGTGAGCTACCAGGGCGCCCCATATTTGACCAGTTTTAAGACATGTTTCCTATTGGATCTTCACTGGCTGTACAAATAGTAAATGGACTGCACTTATATAACACCTTTGTTGTTCTACGACCACTCAAAGTGCTTTACACTACATGTCAGCATTCACCCATTCACACACACCGATGCCACAGCCTTCGGGAGCTATTTGGGGTTCAGTATCTTGGCCAAGGACACTTAGACATGCGCACTGCAGGGAGCCGGGGGTCGATTAACAGATGACTCGCTTAACCTCTAAGCCACAGACACCTTGGATGTTGCTTGATTTGACTGACCTCTTAATTGATGGGATTGTTTTTATAAATGTGGAACCCATCATACCCCAGCAGAATACAGGGATATTCATATAGATGGGATGATTTAGGTGTACTGTCCACCTCTCTCCAGGGTTGTGAATGCTATTGTTGGAAATGTTTCAAATACTAGTGCCAAGATTATTATCTTACTATTATTATAATACTTTTAGTTTGAGGACTACAATGATGATTTCTCTACAAAACCCTGCTTTGCTCATCATCAGTATGTAAAATATATCAAAACATTAATGTTTAATCCTGTCACGGTTTTTAGATCAGAAAATGTTTTACAAGTAAACAAGAATTTGATCGAGCATTCGTTGCCATCGAACCAAAAGTATTGAGGTTTGATACCCAGCTGTACATAAGGTTCAGTGCTTCTTCTCACTGTATGTCTTTTATCAGTGTTCCTTCTCTCTGCCCACACCACGTATCTCATCAGCTTCCTCAGTCGCCCCCCCCCTCCTGCTCTCCCTCCATGTCAGTTCTAACAGTGGAGAGCAGAGCTGAGCGGATCAACTGCCTCACTGCCCACTGAGGCTGTGATTGTGTGTGTGTGTGTGTGTGTGTGTGTGAGACGCGTTCTGCTTTAATGAGCTATTGTTTGGCGGAGTCGCCACTCGAGGGGAGTCTGTCGCTCAGCTGACCCCTGACCCCGCCATGCTGCACAAAACTCAATTAACCACGCTTCATCAGGGCTGTACTCGTGTTCCTCTCCTCCCTCGTGTCTCTTTCAACAAAGATAAATCTGATCACCATTCGGCTGATGTTTTCAGACTCTGTGTGTTCCTGAGCACTCATACACACTCTGAAAGTGTGTGACAATATGGTCATCATTCGCTGTACATCTCTCTCCCCCCTGGTGCTTGTTTTGCTTGTGCGGTCTAACTGTCGGGGTAATTTCACACACATCCAGCAAGTGATTCTGGACCCCCCGCCGTGACCCGTCTCCATCAATCCTTCCCTCCCTCCGTCCCAGCCAATCCCCTGCTTCTGCTTTTCCCCGCAGTCTCTCAGACTACCTCCTCCTCCGTCGTTTTAACTCTAGTGCAGCAGTCTGCCTAACCAGCTTGTGTGACATTGCACAGAACAAGGCAATTACTCCATGGAGAGTTTTGTTTCCTTATTTCTTTGAGCAGCTACGAGAACCAAAGCAAAACCGACTGCTATGACTTTCTACAAGGTTCATGTCAACACTGACCTCAATAACATGCATCCACTGACAATCCATCACAGAGGAGGCCGAAATTGTGACGGCACCAATTTCACTGTAGAGAAGAAAGGAAACATTTGGAACTCTACAGTGAGAGAAGGGTCCTCAGTGAGATGGTGCGGATGGCATGTTTAAAAACCGTCATTTTCATTGGGATTTCGTCTTTAATATTCTAGTTAGTGCGCGACACAGAAGTCACAGTTCCGTTTATACCCCAGTTTAGGTGACCTGACTGTGCCAGATGATCTGAAGCACAGAACCATCTGGACAGTCATCATTGGAAACTGGAAAAGGGCAGACACTTTCATACAATACTTGGCAGCTGATTGGATGAACCATTCATCTATCACCGTCTATCACGGGCAAACTACAACCAATCAGATCAATGAACCGTATAACATAGTCAAACTCTTACAGTCAGGAGAACTAAAATTCTTTTTTTGTAGAGAAACTACACTGGGAAGATATGGAAAATTATTCTGAATCTGAGAGCAAAATGACTTTTTTAATGCAATGCAGAGTTCATTTTCTATTATGGATATTGTATATTTGTCTCTTTTTCTTCTTTGCCAGGTTGTTGTCTTTGCATTCCCATTAGTGAAGTGCAGATCCGGTTCACACACCCAAACCACAACATCCACTCTCCCTCTTTTATACGGGACAAGGTCACACTCTACTCCACCCTTTACAGTAGTACAGCAACATGACACTCCACACACACACACACAAACACACACATATACACACATACAGGTACGAGCGCAGGGTTCAGTTTACCTCTCCTTCCACAAAGCCTCGTGGGAAGAGTGACATCACCCCTTCTCTTTCTTCGCAGCTGTCCATCAAAGTAGACAATGAGGTCATAGGGTTAAACCCCTCCCGCCAGGAGCAGCCCCTACCACAGTGTTGGATAGAGTGCCAGCCTAAGTACAATATCACATAACACACTGACAACAGTTTATACCTAAACTGTGTGTGTGTATACAAAATGGCTGGAAACTCAGTCATTTCTTTGAAGCTTCCACCTCGAGTGAGCTGGAATGAGTACAGCAGAGGAGGATGTCAGTCGAGGAGGAACCTGATACTCTTGTCAAACAGTAGCTGTTTCATCTTGGAAGGAATCTCATACTGTACGTCTGAACAAACGTCTGGCAGAAACAGTTTCCTCGGTTTTCTTGCTACTTCAAGCTGACGTTAGCGGATTTCCAGAAAAAAAAATGCAGATTGTCCTCAAAGTGAACCCCACTGAAAATACTTTCTTTACTGCGAACTGCGGGACTTCAAAGAGAACAAACAACGTGCTGTACAGTAGAGATATTTTTACTGTGTAAATCATAGGAAGTGTCCTCGAGGAAAAGCGTAAGAACCCGACTTTCAAGAGCGCTCTGGCTCTGTAAGAAACTAGCAGAAAGTGAGTTCCAGTGGAGCTCAATCTTCTGGCTTAGTAACACTAATCAGGACAGACGTGCACTTTTTGGCCGCAGCGGCTGATAAATCATAAAGATACCTCATCATCAAATCTTTGGAGTAAATGGGAGTTTGATGATGATGTCTGATAACGTGAATACAACCATCCACACATGCTACCACTTCATAGTTGGCCAGTAACATATTGTAAACAGTGAGAGAACAGTGGGTCGTACGTACGGCGGTACGGCAGCTGGGATGTCCAAATCAAGGAAGCAAATGTGATTTTTCTTGCTGCTTTTTTAAGAGGTGTATTCTGATGATTTGACTTCAGGGTGCTGCCATTGTGTGTTACCCTAAAGGACAGCCGCACACCGAGGTTTTGTGTTATTTATGTAGATGTCATACACAGTACTGCTGCAGTGTAACCAATGTAGGACAATCTCTACAGTTTGTGGTAGCAAATTTTAAAAACAGTATCTTCTATTCTCAATAAAATCATTTTAAATCACATAACATATGAACATATCTGAAGTGGTGAGTCTTAACATTTCTTTGTTCCCTGTTGTCTTGTACATCACCTCATTGATTATTGGAATGTGCTGATCTTGACGTCTTTCCTCAGTTTGCTTCCTCTGTTCTCTAAACTGCTGTTGTCCTGTTTGTTTTTCAGTGATCTGAACGGAAACAACCTGACAGTCATCAGCAAGACAGACTTCTCTGGACTCAAACACCTCAGAGTCCTGTAAGTCACAGCCACCTGTAATGTTTGCACATTCTCACTGTAGATATCACTGTTATTCAGAGCCACTTTGTTTTTCAATTCAGTAATGACCAGTTTTTTGCTGTTGATTATACTCAGAAACATTTCTGTAAAGACGACAGCTTGTACGTATTCTGCAGAGTCTCTTTCCCACATCTCTTTGCTAGTTTTGGGTCTGGTAGGAATGTGGGAATCGTAGTTGTGGTGCCATCAAACGCCAGAGGGAACAGAATGATGCTTTAGCTCGGCAGTGACACATGAGCCACCCAGAGGTGCTTGTTCGGTGTCAGTGTCAGTCAAATTTACAACAGGGAGGGGTTTATCTGTGACCCTTTAACCTGGAAACACAGTGCCCCCTGGGAGAGGCTGCACTGATGGTGGTTTTCTTGTGTTAACCTGAGGACTGGGACTGCGCTGAGTGTCAGTGATGGACATGAGGTGTGAAAAGGATGACATGCCAGGAACTAATGACATCTCTGGAGGCCTGCTCAAAACAGATTAGCAGCCTGCTGGGAGCCCGGGGCTCGTTGCTGTCAGGAGGGGATTGAGTGTTACACCAGTGGTTTACGATGTGGAAGTCTGTGGAGTGCATTTATCAAATGAACAGATCCCAGCAGCAACTGTGGGACAAATCATGTGTGTTGATGGTTTGTTTTTTCAATTTGATTAATGACAGAGGAGGTGAAAACTCTTACAGTTTCTCTTTTCTTTTGGTTTGTGCAGAGCCTCAGTGTATTTGTTTTGTGTATCAAGTGCTTTCACTTGTATTTTCTTAATTTACTAAATGGCAAATTGATGCCTCCCTCTTGCCATAATCTATTTACTAAGGATAATAAGGACATGCTTGAATAATGTTTCTCATGTGGTTTAATGGTAACATATTTTTTTTAAAGATCCCTACCAGGGATGTATTCAGACATATATACATATATTCTGTTTGGAACAATGTGTGTCTGATATGTCAGCATAATCTCCACATTAAAATCCTTAAAAAGTCATCTACTCCGTCCACCTCATTAAAACATTACAGAATATGTGATTATGTAAATGCAAGTTTTCCTGCTGGACAGGACTTAACTGTACTACTTCACTGTAGAGTCCATTCTCAGTGTCTGTACACTGGTGGCTTCAGGTTTCTACATCACACTTGTAGAAGTTACATACTGGACCAGGATGAACTATTTGTGGTGTCAGAAATCATGCTCGTAGGCCCCACCACTTTAATATCCGATTCTCAACGAGCTCAGAGACACTTTCAGCAGATGAATGTGAAAACATCCTTCTAGTGTTGAACTCTGCACAGACATTATTCAAACATCACACTGTAGGAACAACAAGAAAAACAGATTTTTGAGTGCAGGGGGACTTTTTTTTTTCAGGAATCAAGCTATCAGGACATTTTGTTGCAACTGTGTATTTGCTGCTTGCTGTTTGCACTTTTGAAGTCCATAAAACAAATAAGTCTCTGGATTCAATAGTGATATATTTCAAATTGCATTTATTGCATTCATTTCTTTTAACTCAATTCCTGATCTAAAAAAGACAGCATAGGATGGCACAGCAGAATCATATAGAGGCCTGGCCTTGTGGCTACGGAGTACGTGCAGATGGTAACACCGACCAGAGTGACAGACTGACCACCGCTCAGTGTAGCTAACCAGTCAGCTGCTGTCAGACTCTCTGTGTGCATGCTGGAAACAGAGAATCTGCTTGAGGTCACTAGAAGCACATTCACGGCTGTTTGTAAAAGTTTCTGTGCAGTACCTGTGTTACAACGTTAGCTAAACTAGCAGCTCAGAGAGGCTAACTCTCCGGGGTCTGTGGGGGAGCATCGGCCTACGTAAGCAGGCCACAGACTGCAGAGTCGAGACCAGCCAGTAGTGAAATTCAACTGCGATATCCAAGTTTCTACGTTGCACTAGAATGTCAAGATTTGGAGCTGAATTGATCAACACTACTAAATACTGAGATACATTGGTTTTTAGCTGAAAAAATGTTCTGGCGTTTCTCTTTAATGTTATTTATATATTGTTTTCTTTTCATTGCAGTCATCTGATGGAGAACCAGATCAGTAACGTTGAGAGAGGAGCTTTTGATGAACTGAAGGAGCTGGAGAGACTGTGAGAGCACACACGGACACATTTCCTCTAAATCGACTGTAACATTTACAAGTTGATTAATCGAATGTGTTTTTTTGTTTTGCTCCATCCAGTCGCCTCAACAAGAACCGTCTCAGCCAACTTCCGGAGCTGCTGTTTCAGAAGAATGAAGGCCTGTCTCGACTGTGAGTCTCCAAAAAGCTCTGCACACTTTCTATCCCTTAACTCCTCCATCCTGAAGCTTACATCTGAACCCTCTGAACTCCTTACCCTGCTCCCTCTGTCGTACCTCCTACAGTATTTTTTAAGGT